CCGCCTATGGAGCTGCCTACCTATATTACAAAGGAATATCTGCAGGCGAATCCCCCGTACTATGCAATGCTTCGTCAGCAGATGGCGCATGTGGTCGCGCAACAAAAACAAAAAGCACAGCAGCAGGCTCAAGCCCAGGCCCAGGCCCAAACGTCTCAGCAATTGCAGCCTACACAGCAGCAGCAGGCCCAACAAGGTGTGGCGAATATGGCGGGCTCTGGACCGATTGGCTCGCCACAGATGCGCCCTGGACTTCCTCCTAATATGGTCGCAATGTCTCAAATGATGCAGACAATGCAGAACAATGCTGCTTCGATGTCGACACCTGGTGGTGCTGTGGGCGCTGCTGGTGCAAACCCTGCAGCTGGTCCTCCTAGGCCAATGATGGCGAGTCCTAATATGAACCCGGCCGCGGCTGCAGCAACCAGCAACCAACCAACCGCCAACGCAAACCAGCTTCAGCCCACGAAGGAAGATATTATTCTTATTCGGGAATACTGTCGCATGGCAAACATCCAGCTTCTTGGTTTGCAGGATCCGCGGTTTATTATTTTAATAGCCAAAGCCAAGTCGGGTGAGCTTAAGAATCTGCTTATGACGCGCTACCAAGCTATGAATGCTCAGCAGCAGCAACAGCAGTTAGCAGCCGGCACAGCCCCTATTCGACCTAATGGAGTCGCCAACCCTGGTGCGCAAGCGCAACAGTCGCAACCCCAGCAGCAACCACAGGCTCAGTCCCAGGCTCAGTCCCTGATTCAGAGTCCTCAAGACCAACAGCAGCAACACGCGAACGGTTTGAATGCTGCATCTCAGGACTCTGCGGCACCGACAAATCAGCTACCCGGTGCTTCGGGCGCTGCTGCACAAACGCCGTCTATGGCTTCTGTAAATATGCCACGCGATCTATCGAATCTGACTCCTCAAGACAAGCAGCGCTTCCTTGAGATGATGATGCAGAGAAAACGCGAGGCGCAGCAGAACGCGCAACCAGGACAAGTTCTGAATCAACCGGCGGTTTCCAACCAGCAAGCAGCGCTTGCCTCGATGGCAGCTATGCTACAGCAGCAGCGGCAGATGAACATGACTGCAACTAATAACATGCAGTCGCCAATGGTGCGTCCAGCGCAGCTAGGCGGGGCAGCCAACCAAGCACACCAGCGACCGATTTCGGCTATGATGATAAGCCCAACTCCTGCGCCAGCCAACTTGCCTGGCCAGGTATCTGCAGGACAGCTTCTGCAACATATGGCCTCTGCAAATATGACTCCGCAGCAACGTCAAGAGCTACTGCTACGCCTGCAGCAGATGCAATCTTCTCAGCAACAACAGCAACAGCAGCAGCAGCAACAAGCTGCCGCTCCCCGGCCGCAGATCAACATCGCAATGATCATGCAACAGATCACGTCGGGACAGCTGAATCCGACCATGCTTCCTCCTCAGATACTATCGCACCTGCTGCAGAATTCTCAGATTCAACTGTCAGCTGAACACAGACAGATTCTGCAGCGGGCATTGGCTCACCACTTCCATATGCAGCAGAACAACAATGCGACGGGAGCTATCCAGCCAGGTACAACACAGTAAATACATGTCTTTTTTAATCTCTTGAACTTTTTTTGTGCGCACATTTTATTTTTATTTTTTGCAACACATACTCTAAACACACACTCTCGAATTGTTTTTACATGCACATCATTTGAAACCATATGTCACTTTTTGGATGTTTTGTCATTGCGTCAGATGACATTTGCGCCTGGCTATGCACCATCCTGGTTGTCTTTTTCAATACTTTGTTTGAAAATAGGTGCCGAACTAATTGTTTATCAAGAGAGAGAAACAATGCCCCTTGTCTGATGTCTTGGGGGAGGCGCAAGAGATTTTGGTATTTTTAGACGTGAACAGGGTAGGGTATTGAGTAATGTTGTAATATACACACTTTATATATTTTTTTTGCAAAGCACCCTTTTTTGGCATTCTTTTTTTTAAGTTCTGGGCCAAATTCTATCATTATATTATCGCTAAAAAATAACTGTCAGCCTATTCCATGTACGCTGTTGTTAACATAGTCGTATATGCTTTGCTCGGCATATATTTGGCAGCAGCCAAGAGCGTGCCTCTGGTCCCTAGATTCCAGCACTCGATGGAGATATTCGCGGGCCAGCTCTGTGTGTTTGGGGGCAAGTCGAAAACAGTTGGAGTTTCGCTTTCAGACTTTCTTCTGGACTACCGATGCGTCGACGTGACCAACAGAATCGACCAGAAAAGACCAAACTGGAAGCTCCAAAGCTCTGCTTCGCGATTTGCGATGCCGCCCATTGCACAGCATTCGTCGGTATACGATCGCGCCAACCACATAATAGTCCCATATGGCGGACAAGTGCCAAGCACTTTTTCTCAGGCAAACCACCTGGCAGTGTACTGCTCGCAGTTCCAGGCGTGGGGCGCGTCCAACATAGTCGATGCCGACCCGCGTAGGTACGTACACACGGCGGTTCTCCAGGAAAAGAGCAGCGACATGATTATTTTTGGCGGAGCCAGCGACGAGACCACAGACAACAGCCAGAACCCAAGGTGGCGCAATGTTAATCGCATGGTTCTGGACAGCTTTAGGCATCAGAGCCACATGCAATCGCTGGGTTACAATGACGACATACATGTGAACTCTTCTGTTGGAGCTATCATCACCGACGATGGCGATGCCACGCCTGACGCAATTGACGGTGTTATCCAGCATGCCAGTATACTGATGAACGACACGCAGATGGTGGTACTTGGTGGAAACACGTACAACGCAAAGACCGACAAGGCTGAAAACCTGTCCTTTAAAACTGTGTATATCTACGACATTGACAAAATGAAGTGGTATACCAGAGAGTGCGACGGCCAGATTCCTCTGCCTCGTTCGGTGTTTGCGGCATCTCGGTACAAAAACTTTATATACATACACGCGGGTGTCAATGTCACCGACTGGGCCACGTTTTTTGCGGACCTGTATGAGCTGGACACGATTACTTGGCGCTGGAGAAAGATGCCTACGCCCAATGCGCCAATTCCGCGGTACGCACACCAGATGAAAACGCTTGGCCATTACTTGATAATAACCCACGGCTACGTTTCAAACGGAACAGGCTACTCTGGCGATGAAAACATTTATTTTTACGATTTGACAAAGGAGGCCTTTGTCGATGAGTACTCGCCCAAAGGCATTTCAAACAAAGAGCTGGATATCCAGTGGCTAGCAAAAACCACGCAATCAACCAAAGGAATTCTTGCTGTATGTTATATCCTGACGTTATTTGTATTCTTTGCAGCGCTGTACTATTTTATCAAAGAGATAACCGAGAAAATCAAAAGGCAGAGACCCGTGGCGCAGAGAAACACAGCCAGCAGCGGTATCCGTTCAAAGGTGGTCTCGTACGCTGGCAGCTGGCGCGGCTCTGCCTATCTTTTTGACACGAAGCGCTCAAAGACCCTAGGTGAAGAAAGACGGGCATCGCATGATACAGATGGAGTGACGCTTGTGTATTCGGCAGCAGGAGCCGGTAGAAGGCAATCTGCAACGCGGACCAGGAAATCGGACAGCGGTGGCCGCACCAGATCGCATTCTGTTTCCGAAGGAACGTCAACTGTTATTGACAGCGAACTGACACCTTTAGAGATGCGCAGCAACAACGGCGTCTTGCCTGAAAATATGCGGCATACGCGTGTTTTGGACGACGCGCCTGCTAATGAGCCGTATGTTACTCGGAGACTGACCCTGTCTCAGCGTGTTCCTGGATATCGCGCTAGAAGGCCTAGCGAAGGACCGACTGTGCGGTTTTCAGATTACATTCCAGAGAACAATCCCATTGACGACGGGGAATACGACGATGTAATGGAGCAGCAGTATTTGGATAACGACCAATCCAGTCTTAGCAGCATTAGCATTGACAGGCAGTTTGAGCTGTCGGCGATTGCTGAGCACTCTGACGAACAGAGTAGCATTGGTGGCGGCAACGACGAGGATGCCGCCAACAGAAACAAGTCTGGACTACAAGTTTTCAACTGATTCAGTTTATAAATTATTGTTTATTGATAAACCCCCCAGTCAATAATAGAAAAAATAAACTATTAAAAAAATACAAGCTAAAAGCCAGCTTTTAGGCGATATGACCAATGTTTTTAAAAGAAAAGGCTCTACAAGCGCTTGTTTTCTTGGACGCAAGATTAGGGTGTTATTGGATTCCATATATTTTAGTCTGTTGTACACATATAATCCATTGGTTGATTTACTCTTGCAAGCAGCTTGTATCGATGTTGACATTATTCTGTCTTTCTTCATCACACAAAATTTCTGAGCCTTGGATGGTATATTCCAACTCTTGCTGATCTGAGCCCCCAGCTGCTCTATGTTTGGTTCGCCAGCATATTCTAACTTGATGCTGTGCTTATATGTTTCTACTTTTCCGGCTTTAGTAATATACAACTTTTTCACGGTTACACACTCTTCTGTGCCTTTAGACAGACTCGCAGAAGCCATTGACGGGGGAGGGAAGATGGACTGTTGGAAATTAATTCAAAAATAATAGTGCAGAGAAAAGCAATAAAGTTAAACTAAGGAAAAAAAACCTCAAAAAAAGATTCAAGCTTTTCTTTGGTGGATTATAAATAAGGTTTTAAACGTAAAAAGGGTTTATACACAAAGAACTGCGCATCTTCTTTTAAAGCACAGAATAAAGTAATGAAAAGGTCTGTCTTTATTTAATTTGCTTGTGCAGCTTGCTTTTCTGAAATGACGCTTAGTCCTGTCTTTAAAAAATATCAAATGTATGTTGGTAAATATCCTTAGAAAAATTGAAGTAATTTTTTAACGTTTAAAAGTCATAAAGACGTGTAAAACTATGCAAGTTTACTAAATCTAAAAAAAATTAATCAAATTATTCAAACAAAACGCAACAATTTAAAACAGCAATTTTTAAAATTTTTAGAAACGTTTAAATGGCTTAAAAACGAGTTTGTAAGAGGCTGTGTCCGAGAGGTCTAAGGAGATTGACTCAAGTTCAATTGGGCATTAGTCCGCGTGGGTTCGAACCCCACCGGCCTCACTAACTTGATTTTTTTGCTTTTCCTTTTTGCATGTTCATTGTGCAATTTTTTATTTTGGCTGTGATTGCCTATTCAGTGGCGCCGCCCTTTTTGATCTTCCACTTCGCTTGGCGACTTGGCAAATGTGTCATATAAAAAAGGCTCTGGTTCGCTGATTGTATAAAAACTAGTACTTTGGCTCAGGCACCCTTTGCTATTACTCGCTCACTTATTGATTGATCTGTCTGTTTTTTTTTCTCTTCCTTTTTTACCAGTCAATTATTTTTCTACTAAAAGTTTGACTTTGTTCTTTTTTTACTTTGAGAAAATGGCTACTATTTTGCTTGACGCATACGACTCGTTTACATTCAACTTGTACCAGTACCTGCGACTGGCGGGTGCCTCTGATGTGCAGGTGTACCGAAACGACAAGATCACGCTTGAGGAGGTGATTGCACTGAATCCCCGCAACATCGTGCTTTCTCCAGGACCTGGGCATCCTCGTGAGGATCCAGGTATCTGCTATGAGGTTCTGAAGCACTTTGAAGGCAAGATTCCGATTCTGGGTATCTGTCTGGGGCAGCAAATGATGTGTGAGCACTACGGCGGCACAGTGGGATATGCTGGCGAGATCCAGCACGGCAAGACAGGGGTCATCACGCATGACGAGCAAGGGGTGTATCGTGGGATCGAGCAGCAGTTCCCAGTGACACGCTACCATTCATTGGCAGCCGATCCTAGCTCTATTCCAGAGTGTCTGGAAGTCAATAGCTGGACACCCAATGGTATTGTCATGGGTGTGCGCCACAAGAAATTTGCAATTGAGGGTGTTCAGTATCATCCTGAGAGTATTTTGAGCGAAAATGGGCTTGCGATGTTCCGTAATTTCCTGGCGTTGCAGGGCGGCACCTGGGAAGAAAACCCCGGTTGCCGGAGTCCTGAAGACATGGCCAACCATTATCCGGGGTTGCAGACTTCCGAGGATGGCAATGTTATGCCTACTCCGTCGGCAGCGGCTTCGGCGGCAGCCAATGCTGGGGATATTCTTTCGCGCATCTTTGCTAAACGCCAGCGTGACGTGGCTGCCCAAAAGGCAGTTCCTGGTCGTTCGATGGCTGCTCTGCAGAAGCAGCTGGGGCTGGGAATGGCGCCATCGCAGATAGATTTTGCCGAGCGTCTGCGTCAGTCGCCTGGTATGGCGGTTTTGGCCGAGGTGAAGAGGGCGTCTCCAAGCAAGGGTGATATCAGTGCCGATGCTGTTGCTGCCGAACATGCTCTGGGATATGCTCAGGCGGGCGCAGCGGCAATCTCTGTATTGACTGAGCCTACCTGGTTCAAGGGAACCCTGGACGACATGCGTGATGTCCGTCGTGTGGTTGATTCGATTCCTAACAGACCAGCGGTTCTGCGCAAAGATTTTGTATTTGAACGGTACCAGATAGCCGAGGCTAGGCTTGCGGGTGCCGATACCGTTTTGCTGATAGTGAAGATGTTGAGTGCTGCTCAGTTGCGCAATCTGCTGGATTATTCGAGATTGCTGGGAATGGAACCCTTGGTGGAAGTAAATACAGCCGAGGAGATGCGTGGTGCTTTGGATGTGGGTGCAAAGGTTATTGGTGTTAATAACCGTAATTTGCGTACTTTTGATGTGGATATCAGCAATACTGCTGATCTTGCTGCGGAGGGGATTCCTTCGGACGTGATTATTATTGCGTTGAGCGGTATCTTGAAGCCAGAAGACGCTGGGATCTATAGAGACACTCCGGTCAGCGCAGTACTGGTTGGTGAGGGTCTGATGCGTGCTGCCGATAAGCAGGCATTTGTCTCGGCTCTCCAAGCGACCAAGAAGGACTAGCTATTGGCAGCGGTATTAGTTTAAAAACAACATTTGAAGTTTATTAATATATTGCTATCATAAATATGGTACGGTGGGGAGCGCGTTTAAACAACGTTGGCAGACGAGTCGAGGGCAGGTACATTGATGGGGTAGGCCTTTGTTCCCTTGTTGGTGTCGTTCTGTACATGGATATTGACGATCAACGAGTGGTTAGTCAGGTTTTCGACGTAGGACGAAAAGTTTCTGCGGGCCAGCAGCTTGCAGTTGTTGTTTGGCGGGGCCTTTCCGTTGACATCAAGCTCGAACAGCCTGTACATCATCTCGTTGGTGGCACGGTCCAAATCGTAGGTCTTTGCCGACGAGTGCACGGCGCGGATAACGAGGTTTGGCGGCGGGATGTTCATAATGGCCGAAGAGATGATCTGTGGCATAAAACGATGGTCTCTTTCGGGCGGCAGCTGTGGGCTGGACGACGCAAAGCGGCCTGCGCCGCAACAATGCACGTCGCCGGCTACAAAAGTAACGCGTACGTTGCGTTGGCGGGCAAATTCTTGCAGACGCAGGACAAACTGCTTACGCTCTTCCATGTGTACCTCCGAAGTCCAGTGGTCGTTCATGTCGTCGGAGAGCTCTGGCTCGCCCCAGATATTGACCAATGCGCGCTGCTTGGCAAGGAAGCTCAGCTTTGTCAGACCGATGCTCTTGATTCCTGCGAGTGTCTTTTCAATGTATGTTAGACGCGGGTAGACAATGGGAACACCTAAGAACACCACCAGGTGCTTGACTGAGAACGGCATCCGGTTGATTCGGTCAAACATCAGGTCGTAGGTCTGCGGCGCAATGATCTGATTGATTGACCGCTCGTAGCGCGTATCGGGGCCCAATGCCGCAGTGTAGGGGCCAAATTGCTTGAGCCAGCAGTAGCCGTGAGTACCAAAGTAGTTGTGCTGTCTGCACAGTTTCTGAGTGGTGTGTCCCTGGAACAAGAGCCAGTACTTGAATGCATATTCCTTGAGCTGCACAAACACCTGCGAGTTCTGCAAATAATCGGGGTACGAGCCAATGCCGTCCCAGACATCGTGGTCGTCGATGATGCACGAAATGGGTAGCGTGGTCATTGACTCGCCAAACTTGCTGTTGAAGAAGCACTTGACATAGTGCGTAAAGTAAAAGTCGTCAGCGTAGGTGGCCATATCACGGGTGAAGGGAGCGTCGCGGCGCACGTACTTGTCCTTGATGGCCAGCCACGGCTTCCAAATATCCGAACTCCAGATCTTGTCTGCATACAGCTGGTCGCCGCCGCACACCTGCACGTGGAACGGCACCACCTTGTGCTTGGCCAGAAGGTCGTCCCAAACGACGTTATCGCCGCCCAACTCCTTCTTTTCCTTGTCACTGACCGAAAGCGACCATCCGTTGCACGACCAGAAGCAGAATCGCCACGGCGTGGTCTGCGCGGGCACAAAGAAGCGATATGATGGCCCGGTGTTGTTGACCTTGTACTCGATGGTTTTTTCGTTCTGCACGTCTAGCTTGACCTGGATATCGACGCGGTAGAAGACAGTCTTTTTGTACGTGTCCAGGTGCACTGCTGGGAATGGCAGCGAGGGGCCGCCGCTGCCGTCGTTCAGAGTGACTGTCGGCGACGCGTATCCGCGGGGCACAAGCAGCAGCACGCTACCATGCCACGTAGCTGTCTGCAGGTCTGTGTCGACAAACAGAAGCGCCGGGCCGATAATGCCGTCGGGCCGACGCCGCAGATGTGCGAGAGGCTCGCCTGTCTCTGCGTCAAAGTTGCCCTCGTAGCAGTCGGGGTCTGCAGGCGCGTTCATTGTCTGGCCGGGATAGTATGCAGGGCCACCATGAGGAATGCCGTTTTCGTCGTATTGGATAGGCTGTATGCCGCTGCGTTCGTTGAACTGCGAATTCGAGACCGGGAAATCCATGAGTATCCTTCCGAGAGGTTAAAAACAAAAGCAGGTAATAAAAAAATGAAAAAAGTGAAAAACAATGGTATGTAGAAAAGAAAGAAAAAGAAAAAGAAAGAGTGTCGTAGCCTAGACACAGCTGAGCTTTGAGCTTTTCTAGTTTCCCTTTTTTCCACTTTTCCCTTATGCGCTTAAATGCACAATGGGTTGATTTTCTCTTTTCCAGGCGGTTTTTTTTTCGTTTTCTCGGAAAACAAGAGGACTCGGCCTTTGTTGGCTGCTTCTTGGCGGCCTTGTGACTAAGCCTGGTGGGTTTCTTTTACGACGTCATAATCTCCCTTTATGCGCATTGGTGGTGACAACTACCGCAGCGGCGGAATGTCTTTGACAGCCTTTGACAGAAACAAAAAAAAAAGTTGTTAAAAATAGAGGGTCGGAAAAACAAAGCAAAATTGCAAAGCAAGATCCGTTTCCACATCTTTGAAGGCCGATACAAAAAAAACAAAGAGCAGATGAGGGACCAGGAATGATTTTAGGGCCGAGATCTAATTACAGACTAATCTGCACGAGATAAAGACCGGCAGCAGTCCGAGAATCCGGAGGGGTGCGGGAAGCAAGCAGAGGTCTGCATGCATTTTTACGGGTTGCGCGTGGTTCTAGGATTTGGGATTTGGGATTTGAAAGCGGAAAAAGGGAAACAAAAACAAATGTGGGCAGAGGTGGAATGGAGTGGTCTGCTGAGAAGCAAAAACAAATAAAAAAGAGGGGAGTAATGGAAAAAAAAAATTATGCGGCAATCCTGTGTGTGCGGGCATTGGCAAAAGATATGCAATTGTGATGGTCTTTTTTTGTTGGATGTAGACCGCTTGTTATTGTTTAGGTGACGAAACATATCACACAGACAAGCATGCTTTCACACAACAGCAGGACACAAAGCCGATCATTGGCTTTATGGACACACATTTTTTTTCTTAAGTTTCTCAGTACGTTATTTGGCTTTTATATCGCTGAAATAGAGAACGTAAAACACCTTTGAATGTGGGTTTGGATCGACATTTCACTTCATGCATGATGCTCATCGTTTGCGACAAAAATCAAAATAAAGCGTAAGCGCTCCCAACATGGAACTGAGTAAAAAAGAAAAGAAAAAAAGAAAAAAAAAAGTCCACCACTTTTTTTGTTTTGACGTTACACGCATTAGAACTAGGTTGTCTCGTTAGCACAAACAAAAGTAAGCTCATGTTATAAAAGGACT